AGTATGTTTTTTCCTTCTTCTGTAAAGTTTTCATCTTGGAGAGGTTTTGTTCCGACGGCAGCGATATGTTAAGAACTCTGACTCGTGTAGGTTCACTGCTCAGTTTGGAAAGCAAATAATGTTTGAATAGCTGTATTTGTGTTGTAGACATTGTGACCCCTGGTTCCTCTTACCTCTGTAAAGAAATCTCGGTTGGCAATATTTGCTATAACAAACCATTTTCACATAAAACTACTCTGCATTTGAACAATTGAACTTTCCAGAAATGTTTAAACTCTGATGGAATTCCTCTTTTAACTCCTCAAATATTTAGGATTTTTGTGTATTTCTTAATATCACACCCGCACAGCACATTTTAGATCAGGCTAGCCGGAGAATTTGTGGAGCGTCTAAATCAGATCGACGGTCATGACAGATAAATCGGAGTGTCCTCTTCCTGCTCTGTTTTGGTTTGTGATCTCACTGTGAACTCTTCCAGCCGAGCGATTCAGGCTCCTTTCCTTTCTCTGTCCCCCCCTCTTTACCCATCCTGGTAAGTGTCAGCATTAGCCCCTGCTGCTTCCTTAATCATCAGTGAGAGAAAGTTCTGGAGTGGATTGCGAACCCTGTGAAGGAGCAGCACCATATTTGGAGCTGCGCAACTATGAGGCCTCAGGGCTTCTGATCTTGACGCCCTCGACCAGTCAAGCGCTAATGCTAGCTAGGCCCGCTGGGTCAGGTACAGGCTAAAAGAATCTGAGCGCAATGGATGGATCTGGCTTTGTATTCTGCAGTTATATAGAAGCGCGTTTGAAGGGCACAGTGTTTAAAGTAGCCGGCTACTGCCGAGACAAGCCGTGGAGCCCTGCAGCTCTGGCTGCCTTTTACAGGCCGCCCATAACTCTCGCAGGCGTAAACACTTCAGCATGCTAGCATGGACTATGCGCAGAGAGCTCTCTTAGCAGCCAAATTCATCTTCCCCTGAAATGATCTGTTTGCTTTTTGCTTCTTTTTCCAAACCCTTCCAAAGCTGCCTTTCTGCTCAGAGAGCGAGCCGGGTCTCGAGCGTGACTGGGTTATGGCCCTTTTTCATTCTCAGAAATATGTCTTGTTTTATGAGATTCAACCCTCCAAGGTCTCGCAACATATTTCTGCTTTGTGAATTTTTTTTTTTCTTTTTTCTCCTTTTTCTTCTTCTTTTCCTCTGCCACTCAGCCAATGATGATAGATTCTGTAAAGGCTGCCAGCTGCAAGTCAAAAGCTGTGAGCTGGTGCCAAACATTAATGATTTTAATGGGTTTGACTGTAAAGGAAATGAGTGGGGATTTTGTAGTCTGAGTACGAGAACGGACGTTTTGTCATTTTTAATCCCAACACTTTAGGATTCTTGATGAGGCTCGAGTTTCCATATGACACTAATTCAAATCAAACCTTCTGCTCTTTTTTAAAGACGTTTGCAGGAACAGACACACGCGACTCGCTGAGTGTACCTTATCAGGATATTATACATGCAGACAGCAGAGCTTTTCTTCTTTTTCGTCTTCTGGCATCAAAGCCTGCTCCCCATAAAGCAGGCAATGTGTTAGTTACTTGCTCCCATTACTGCTGCAGTTGCCCAACACATCTCCAATTATGGTGCTGTTTGGGCTCTTTTGGCTCTTTTGAAGGCTTGGAGGTCAAGGAAATGAGAGTTGAAATGCCTGGCATATCCCCCCGACTCCCTCCTCCACCCCTGTTAGCAAGAGACAGAGAGGGTGTCGGGAGTAAAGAGTGTCTGCAAATAAATCTGTTCTACCGCTGGTTAGTCATCCGCTTCAAGAGAGCGTGGATCCGTGGAGGGGTTTCGAGCGGAAGTGTTGAGGGAAGTGAGCGTGTCAAATTTAATAACTGCAGACCACACAGATTAGGCGACTGTGCTACAAGGAGATCCGTCAGGTCCAATTAACGCCACTGTGTGGAAGAGACGGCCCTTACTGGAAGAGAGCCGTTGTGGTAGTTAGCGCTGGGCAGTATAGATAAAATTCATTATCACAATTTTACAGATCTTGCAGTAACAGATCAGGGTTCATTTGGCATTAATAAAGTTAATGTATGTTACTGTATGTCTGTACTAAAATGAATGTCATACAATCCTGACAAACCTCAGTGTCATAAACATGATGAGCTAGAAATCATATTTCTTGAAAGGGTGCATCTTGCTTACTTTCTCTTTAATTCGGTCCATTTTAACAGGTGTTAAAACTAAACGACTGAACCACGGTTCGGCAAAAATCAAGTCTCTGTTGGCTTCCAACTGAACCCTGGTTTAGTTCGCTGCTGGTGGGAATGGGTTTTTATGATGGTCCTCAAAACAAGAAATTCAGCATCAGAGCGTGCTTCTTCTAGCAGCACGTTAGTCATAATCTGCTTGTTTTAACATTTGATTCCTGATAGACACTCGTTGTTCTCACTGCACAAGCTGTTGCTCATAACTGCAGATGAGCAATAAAATAGCAAAGCCATGCGTTTGATTTTTGCACATGGAATTTGGAGCATATTTTTGGCCAAGCAACAACAACCTCTGACTGACAAACTGTTTAATCAAAGAGACAGACGAAGTGAGGTTCATTTTTATTGCTTTTATTGTGATTTCATATATGAAACATTGCTATTTTAATCAAAAGCAGGGGCTGAAAAATGCTTGTGTATGAAGAATATGTGTGTGTGAGATCTGGATTTTATACAGTGAAGGCTAAAGTTAAACATGATCGTTTTTGGCCCTAATGTGAAAGTAACAGAGGGGCTTGTATTCCAGCCAAATTTCTGACCAGTCAGTGAACATTAATGAACATCATATTTACCCAGTTTCCCCCCCTTTCTTCAAATCAGCCAAGACGTGTTTGGTGTGTGAAGTAGCACTGGAGCTACAAGGCTAATGTAGATGACAAGTAATGGAAGTTTATACTCCACAAATTGTGCAAACAGCATACCGAAATCATAGTACTCTTGCTTCATAGCTCCAATATTGGACAAATTAGATTCTTTGCTGAACTGTTCCTTGAAGGTTAGTCTCAGTAGTAATGTTCAGTTACATGTACAGTCATTTGCAAAAGTTTGAACTCTGATTATCAGACGGGCTGTTAATTGGTCGAGTCCTATTAAATGTGCAGAAGTTTGTTCTCTGTAGCGTTTGTGAACATCTGCTCATCTAGCATCTCTTCTAAAATCAAGAGTGTTAATAGGGAGTTTGTCCCTTTTTGCTGCAGTAACAGTCTCTACTCTTCTGAGAAGGCTTCACACTAGATGTTGAAACATTGGTGTGAGGATTTTACTCCATTCAGTCACAAGAGCATTAGTGAGGTCCCTTACTGGTGCTGAATGATCAGTTCATCAAACATCAGCTCATCTCAAATGTTTTGACTGAAGCTCCATCACTGCAGAGAATGTAGTTCCAGTGCTCCACAGCACAATGCTGGTGTGCTTTATACTCCTGTAACTGACGCTTGGAATTGGTGATTGGTGAAGCATGGTGATCATAGGCTCATGTGTTGGTGCTCCAGTGCAACCTTTTCTATTGGACGTGCTTTTCTCTTTAGATTATACATGCTGTAGGTATAGTAGCAGTATCCTGATTTAAGTCAAGTCCAGGTTTATTTTTATAGTGCTTTTTAAAACAGGCGTTGTCACAAAGCAGCTTTACTGAAAAATCTGGAGGAACCAAGCAAGGAGAACCAAGACTCAAAAGGAGAACCTATCCTCCTCTGGTCGACACCAAACAATAACAAAAGAGCAGAGAATATGGTTTTAACATTAGTATAAAATATTAAAATACAGAAAAGGGGGAAAACAGGTGAAGCAATAGCTATGATTAAATAGTTAGTCAGTGCAGCAGCAGCATCATCAGGAGGGTCAGTTCATGCAGGTGAGGTTTTCCCAGCATTGTACAGCAGGAAGCTCTGTGGTGGTCAAACTGGTCCAGGAGACAGGCCGGCAATGAGCACCCGATCGAGGCAGATGAATTAACAGCATCAGACCGCACAGGATGGACAGTTGCTCAGCTCATTAGGCTGTCTGGATACTATTGGACATGTAGTGCAGGGGCATTTTGAAAATTCCCTGATAGAATACTCTTAGGTATTGGTCAGGCTACAGGCAGGTGGAGTACAGGAGCTGCTTGTGACCTGCACATGGTTGCTTCAGTGTTTGGCATTTATGTGGGTGAGCGTGACCCATGGAGGCTGTGTGGTAGCTGGTACGGAGGGACCTGAGGAGGATTAGGCTTGCTTCAGCAGAACAGGTCATATCATAGCGTCCCGCCTGTGGCTCCTGGGTTCCCTCATACCAGCAAAACACTCAGTGCCCCTCACTGTAATTAGCTTTTGTTAGGACCCACTGGAACCACTGCCTCTCTCTGGGGGGTAGTTGGGTGTGTGTAAGAGAGGAGTGTCATCGCTGGACCAAAACTGATTCCTACCAGCTCCAACTGTGAACTCCATACATGCAACCAGTTCTACCAGACTTGAGCAAAAAAGTTACAGGAATTGTTTAAATTTAGTTTTGTTAATTAGTGTAACTTACCAGCATCTCGAGCTGCTATTGCTTTAATATTTCCTTTGTAAGTAAGTTTGAGTTCTTCCACATTACATGATGTCATGGCAGATGTCTTACATTGTCATAAGCAGCCACAACAGATATGGTTCATTAATATAACAATGTCATGTCACCTTTACAGGTGAATACGTTATGTAAATGCATAATTTATGATTTCTGCCATATGTATAAAGCATGATTATTTCAGTGTTCAAGGTTTTAAGTAAAGTGTTACCCTAATGCATTTTATTTTTTAAAATTTGTTCTGCAAATTGTGGTGCTGCGTTTTTTCAAAAATATTTGTTTTGCTGTTTGTTCTGTCTACATAAGTTGTCTTGTTTTAACTTTTCTGCCCAGAGTGCTTTTGTACATTTATTATTATTATTATTATTATTATTATTATTATAACTATTTTCTAATATGTGTTGTGCATTTGTGCTTGTTTTGTCCAGATTAAAGGCAGCAGAAGAATGTTTCAGACAGGCAAAGGAAAAAGCCACCTACAGTGTCAAACCCAAGCACGCCACTGGAATCGTAAGTCCACACACATTATGTTTATATTACTAACAAACTACCAAGTGTCCGTCTCACAAAGCGAGATTTCATGCTTATCCAGCTAACTTTAAGTTTACTTTGAGTCTTGGATTTTCGGTCTTACAATGGTCTTTGTGAATGCATCCTAAGTCATGCTTTCATGCACACATGTGAATCATGGGTATCTAAAGCTGGGTTTAAACCTGGGAGAAAGTTAGTAGGCCCTAAAACTGTTTTGCAGCTGTTGATGTAGTTGTTCGATCATCTTAAATCATTAAAAACCTTGGTTTCATCTTTAATTCGTCACTCACTTTTTAGCCACATATTGAGTGACTCACATCATCAAAATTTGTGTATAATTCAGTCATTCAGATGTGAAAGGGTTCACTGTAGCACTGTAGAGAAGCTAACCCATTGTGTTGCTTTACAGAGGTGGTGATAGGAACCAGGGGTCAGAATGTCTGCAACACAAATACAGCCATTTTATTTACTATGCAAAACCCCCAGTGAAAAATATGAAAAATAATGGTAAAATGGGTAAATCTGAAATTTGTTTTGTTTTTGTTTTGTTTTGTGTTTTTTTGTTTTTTTTTTTTTCACTGTTTTTGCCTTACAACACACTGCATGCACATTTCCGTATTTTAAAAATAGGTTTTGGATCAAAATCTTTTCTCAGTGCTGTCATAAAACAATGTCTCAAGTATCAAGCAGGACATTCATAACCATTTCATGTCACAACTTTTTGTGAGGTAATTTGTAGAGGCAATACACTTTTCAGGCGTCTGGTCCCCATCATCATCGCTGTGAATAATTCTGATTCAGCGTGTTTCTCTAGAACAGAGGATTTCTCATCAAACTACTCTGAATGGTTTTATCTACATATTAATGATTTAATTTTTTAGGCCTTATGAATAATAGATGGAAGTTGAGCATGCCATATTTGATTGAATGCAAAGTAAAGACACCTCAACAAACCATCTGCTGTGATTCATAAAAATAAGCTTTCTTCTATTTGGGATGAAACACAGCACTGATTGGTCATGTGGCAAAAGGTGTCTGTGCTGAATTTGTGTTGCTGCATTGCTGGACTGTGGGTATATAAATGTAGTAATGTGAAGTTGAGATGCATTGATTTTTGGAATCAGTTACAATAGATTATAATATTCAGTGTGCTCTCATTTCTTGGCCAAAATAAAAATTACTGGGACTATTTTCAAATGTAACAGCGCTTTCACACCTACCGTGTTCGGTGTGGGCCAGTCAGATGTTTTCTTCAGTTGGTTTATTGTGACTGCTATGAAAACTCCACCTGTACGTGGGTGCATTCTAAACAAATGAACCGTGGTCCAGGTCTCGGTCCGCTTCCAGGTGTATCCTGTTTCGGTTTGTTGCTGGTGGGAACACATTTTATAGTAGTCTGCATTAAACAAGGAAATTCAACAGTTTATATCAATTTATCAGTGCCTATCTGCATATTTCAAATTCTGACTTTTCGCAGACGCTCGTTGTTCTTAAATGACACGCTGCTGCTAATAATGACAAACGAGTGGTATCGTTTTTTTTTTTGTTTTGTTTTTTTTTCTTTATTGCTTGGTCTGCAGAACTTATTTTTGATAGCTTGGACCAGGCATTAGTGACCAGATTGGACAAATTTAAACTGTGTAATTAAACCAATTATAGATGTAGAAATAAAGTTTACTTTGTTTATTACTCTGATTGTGATCCACCTAGACATTAAGCATCTCTATTTTTTGCAGATATAATGGGTAGGATTATACAATTGATCATGAATAGGGATTTGGATCTTAAGCTAAACTGACACTAGAAGAATAGGGGCTTGTCTTGTATCATCAATTTTCTGGCCGATCAAAGAACGTGTGAATTTGTGTAGTTTAGCCGAACCAACCGAACCAAATGAAAGATAGTGTCACAAAAACTTGAACTCTGATGCAAACAAACTAAGTATGAACCATACTGACCAATATTTTTATGTTGTCTGTTTGTCATTTGTATATTCAGTGTACCTTTAAAAGTTAATTCTCAGCTCGGGCTCCCGAGCGGCGCAACCGTCTAAGCGTTGGCCCTGTCATCAGGAGATCGCGAGTTCGATCCCTGGTGATGCTACAGCCATCCGTAGCCGGGAGTCCGAGAGAGCACAATTGGCCTCGCTCTCTCTGGGTGGGCAGGATGGCCCCTCCCTCTCCCCCCATCACTCAACGCAATGCTAGTCAGCGCAGGCGTCTGTTAGCTGATATAACAGATCTGGTGGTTGGCGCTTTCCTCCGAGCGCGTTCGGCTGTCCAGTGACGTTGCATGAGCGGCAGTTCGAAAAGAAGCGGTGGTTGGCTTCACAGGTCTTGGAGGAAGCCTGTGTTAGCCTTCACCCTCCTAGCGTTGATAGCATCGTGTGATTGTGGGGAGTCCTAACTAGCGGGTGGAATTGGAGACGACTAAATTGGGGAGAAAAATCGGGTAAAAATTATAAAAATAAAAAAAGTTAATTCTCAAATGTACAAGAAATCTAAATGTATCATGGTAAAATCTGAGATTTTGTGTAATCAAATCAGAGATTTACATCCCTAATGATGCGGGTACTTTTTTATCTTCCACAGAAAGCGAAGCTGGGCATGAAAATCTAACCCTGGTGAAGCTGGACTTTTTAATCCTGGAGGAACATCGCAAATGTAGAAATATAAAAAAAAAATAAAAACCCTACACAGCAGGCCTGAGGTGGAGTGCATGGACTGCAGACACGGGCTTTCACTGTTTTAACTGTTCATACTTCTGTATTCAACACTCGCGCACACAGGATTACAGATTAACGTAGCAGCCCTCAAAACTTTACTCCATCTGCAAAATGTACACAGGAAGTGTTTCTGGATGTTCTGTGATGTTGCAGCCACATGTGATCTGCCACTGAGTCCTCAGTCACTTGAACCAGGTTCTGTTAGCTCAAGGGCAGTATAGTAAACCCGAATTGGATCAAACATGATTCAAACAATGAAAGCAAGAGGAAGAAGGGCAAACAAGAAAAGAAATGAAGCTTGACAAAGAGGGAGTGGAGGCAGATGGTATGTGTGTTCACTTTTACCCAGGCTTTTCAAAATCTGCAGTAATTTATCCGAGCGCAGCGCATCACCAGCAGTATGACGGTGGAGAGAGGCTCTGTTTTTGTTTTTAGGCAAGCTGGTCAGATGGTAGCAGTGAGGGCAGCGCCACGGTTCCCTCACCATCAGGATAACACTAAGCCACAGCTTTTAAAAGTAAGACGCCAGTCTCCACTGTCCTTTCTCACTGTTCTTCCTCACTGTTTTTTTTTCCCTCTTCCCTCGTTTTAAAACCAAAAGCAGGATTCGGCGGAGGCTTTCATCATGCTGAGTATTAGATTATCTTTGCAGGCTTTTCTTAAATCCATGATTTAAAGCTGATGTTGATTACAGGAAGATTTTGATTTCAGTGGCTTACTTAAACACTTCCAAACCCTTCCATAAGGCTTCTTAGCAAAGTACTACTCAGAAAACATGCTGACCAGGAATATTGTGCAGGATGCAGTACAACAAAAGAATTTTCAAACAGCAGTCGAGTGGAAACCCTCTCAGATTGTGTGGAGCTGGTGAACCACTTGTTGAATGTTGCTATGGGAGAAAGTGATGATATACATGCATTGTGTTCTTCCTTCTCCAGCAAACTGGGGGTATTAAGGCTAAAGACTGAAGCCTGAGGCGGCAGTTCTGTCTGTTTAACCGACGCTATCATGGCAGAAAAACATTCGATAGAATTTTGGGTTTTTTTTAATCGCAACGTACAATACTTGACTTGATTGCTTAAAATGTATTTAAAAATGCCATTATTTTATCTAATGTAAAGTAGTATTAACATCTTTATGTAAGATATTCTTGTTTATTTTTTTATTTTTCCTCCCCTGTCTCAGCATGTATGTGTTTAAAGTGTCAATCACTCTGGATCTGGAGCGAGAAGGTTCTGCCCACGTGCAATAATTGTTCGTATGTTTTTGTTTGTTTTTTGGAAATAGTGTAATTTATGTAAAATAAAGGGATAAATAAATTACCTCATTGATTTGAGTCTTTTAAAGAGAAAATATGTAAATCTGAGTTTGCAAAATGAAGATATTAGCTATGAAAGGTGACCCCTAACATTTTTTAAATTTGTATGAGTTTTGGAAATGCTTTCATGTCAACTGTCCTGTCATAAACCTCCACAAAGGCTTATTCCAGCAGCAGTCAGTTGTCATAAAGGCTGCTTTTGTCAAGCTGACCTAACACCTGTGTCAAGTAACAGATTTTTGATTAAATTAAGTGCAGTCCTAGCATTTTACGGCATTAAACGTTAGCATGTTAAAACTGCTTTCTGGTAGGTAGCGTTCTCCTGCCGTCCACGAAACGGATGGGTCCATCAGACCGCCAGATAGTGTGGCATCATTTTTCACTCCAAAGAACACATTTCACTGCTCCAGAGTCCAGTGATAGCATGCTTTACACCACTCCAGCCAACGCTTGGTATTGTGCATAGTGATATTTGGCTCGTGTGCAGCTGCTCTTCCATGAAAACACATTTCATGAAGCTCCTGGTGCACAGCTCTTGTGCTGATGTTGCTACCAGAGGCAGTAATCCCTGTAATGAGCACCTCAGCACTCCGTGGCCCCCACTCTGAGTTTGTGTGGTCTACCACCTCCTGGCTGAACTGTTGGTGCTCCTTGACACTTCCATTTCACAATAATAGCACTTACAGTTGATCTAGCAGGGCAGAAATTTCACAGTGACTTGTGGCAATGGTTGTCCTATGACAGTGCCACGTTTAAAGTCACTGAGCTGATCAGTATGACCCATTCTACTGTCAGTGTTTGACTGTGGAGACTGCATGGCTATGTGCTTGATTTTATACACCTGTTAGCAATGAGTGTGGCTTAAACACCTGAACACAATAATCAGGAAGGGTGTCCACATACTTTTGGCCATTTAGTGTAGGTGTTATGTCAACCTTAAAGTTGACGGAAGCAGCCATCCTGACAACTGATGCTGGAATAAACCTTTATAAATGCTTACGTATGTTTATCGGTTTTAAAAAGTTTATATAGGGGTCATGTAGCCTTATAAACACTGCCCTTCAGTAAAATAACACTGTAAATGTAAATTAACACTGAAAATGTCATCAGGAGTGTGGTTCAGCAGCAGCAGTAGTAGCATTAAGAATTTCCATGTTGGATTCAAAACTTATACGACTTCTGTAGTAAAATACTTCTAGTAATGTGTAAAAATACTAATTAACAATGGCTCTGAATGCAAATTAGGAACAATTAGATGTTTAGCAAGAGATCACATACAGATTGGTGTATTTACTATAGCATAAATATCCACCAGGCCCCCATAATGTTGTTCATTGTGTAAGACACAGACATGATTCTATTTGAAATAGATTTAATAGAGTTCATTTCTTTCTCTAGATATATACATTTTGGTGTACCATAGTTTTATATATAATCTCTATTATACTCAGCCTAGTAATACACGTCATATTCATTGAATAAGGCATAATTTGAAGTCACTGCAAGCAGCATGATTGTTCAAGTCTCTGTTCCCACTCGTTTTGGGATTGACAGTCCAGCAGCACAAATAGTCTCTCCGCTCAGAATACTGGCAAGGAAAGTCTGCAGTTTTGGCAGTGTGTATATACTGCTAACATTTAGCAGTGTGACGTTGGATTATGTTAGATAGGGAAACTCAAATGTCGTCCGTTGCCAGCTTCTCTATTTAGACCTGCTGCCACCCAGTTCGGACACATTGGCACAGTGCTCTTCTCTTTTCGGCAGCTTTTGTACCTTCTGGTGACACTTCTGTCCGTGAACGTGCGGCGAAGTGTTTAACAGCAGTTTGAGAGAGAAGCGTTATTCTGTTTTCCTTCTTTTTTTGGAAAACATTTTTCAGGATGAGCTGATTCTTTGTGTTCTTTCAGAAAGTCTCAGTCTTGAGATGCAAACTTTACACAACAAGAAATGGAGGGTATGCCAAAAAAAAGTTCTATGATGTGGTCTCAAAATAGATTAGCAGCTCTGGAATCACTGCCTATATGAAGTATCAAAATCTATAAATCAAATAGTTTATCATATAGTGTATATTGTGTTCCAAGCTGGCCCCGTGGTCTATCAGTCTCATTGCTTGCCAGATTCAGCCACACTAACAGAAATACACCGGCACTGCTTGACACGCTGGATCTTTCGGTGCCTGAATGGAGGCTGCAGGTCAGGGCAGTCCAGCTCCACAGTGAGTGTGGTGAACCGGTGTGGCCGGCAGAAGGCGCAGGACTGGAAGCTCTCCTGCTCCTTTTTGACGTGGCGTGGGATGTAGAAGGAGTTGCACTGGCCGTAGCAGAAGCGGTTAATGATGGTGCGGCTCTGGCAGCCCTCATGGCTGACGGTCTGCCGCAGGGGCTGCGTCTTGCACCAGTCGCTCTTCAGGTACTTCCTCTCTGTCACCACCAGAGCTTCCTGACTAGAGGCCAGCACTTCTTGTTTGCGCCCACGGCGGTCCGAGGTGTTGGAGCTGGTTTTGTACGGCGAGGGGATGGAGCCTTGAGGGCGGTTTTTCCGGGACTCGGACACAGCACATAGGACAGCGGCCAGCAGGACCCACAATAGCAGCTTACAACACATCCTGAGAAACAGAAGAAAAGGGACAGACCAACATTAGCACATGGTTTTCGAATCCTAACCCTTCTCCAACTAATTAATCAACGCTTTCTGCGTTAAAGTGGAGGGACAGGGTTACAACAGCATTAGCACTCCAAATTTCCCACTGACATTTACAATCCAGACCATGGGATGCCCCTGTGCAGACCATATTTTAGTTCTATTTCAGGTCCGAACATGCTGGAATCTGGAAGTCAAGGGCCACAGTTGTCTTGCCAGACTTGCACAGATTAATTGGGAGCTTGAGAAGAACCCTCAGCTGGGGGCCTCTGGACTGGATTTAGAAGTGCTGCCGAATAATCCTACAAAAAGAAGAATCTAATCATTCAGTCACATAACAGAACGGGATTTCAAAAGAAGAAGTGGAGAGGAAAGACAGAAAGGCTTCAAGGTATAAATAAAGGCCGTAAGTTGTTGCCAAAGGAGGTCAATATCAGAGGTCTTTGAATCTATGCGTTTGGCAGACATTCTTGTCCTGAACAACTTAGAGTTTACTCTTGAAACAGATCTTACCACCATCTATCCAAATCTAACCACCTTTTAATGTAGGCGACATAGGATTAGGAGTCTTGCCCAAGTACTCTTATTGGTATAGTGGGCTGTGTTTGCCCAGGTGGGGAAATCAAACCCCAGTCTGCTGTGTGGAGGCCAGCAGTACCCACTAATACCTATCTAGTTTCCGGTCCTGGATTTTGTAGTCCCTGGTAGGTAGCTCAAATGTTCATGTAACTGACTGACCACAGCGTGTCATACCTACCATTGACTGCAAAATTTGCCCCCCGGAAACTGTGTTAAAGGTCTGGATTTGAAGACCTCTGGCCTGTATGGTTTCCGTTGTTATGTATCAGAGTCCAGCCATGCTCCTCAACATGTACCATCCTGCAAATTTAACCACCTTGTAATATTCATACGTTTCTTGATTAGCAAGACCAGGTGTGATAGATCATTGTTGCTAATTGTTGATCTATATTTGCTGTAGTTCCCAGTCACAGTCTTGGGTTCCAAGACGTTTGTTTTTCCTGCTCATAGACACTCCAGCATTTTATGTAACAGTGGGTTCTCAGGAGTAGAACTGGGAACCTATGTGCTAATAGGTTTTTAGCTAAGCTCAGCAGGCAGAGCATGTCCTTGATCTAAGTTGCCAGTCTAAATGAGCTCAGTGCCATACGTCCTTACCTTAATAAGGATTAGAATGTCAGCTGTGTAGTAATTAAAGTTAGCCATGACCTCAAACTCTAGAGGACCTACCGCCCTCAAAGGTTTCATGATTTCCCTGCTCAAACACAGTTACGCTAATCAAGAGCTTTGTAATTAAGTAATGAGTTGAATTAGGTGCAGCAGAGTAGAGAAGTCAGTCGGGATTTTGTTTTTACTACATTATCAAGGTTCTCCACCTACACCAAATCATGTCATTAGCTAGCAAAAAAATCCTTCTTGACCTGAATCAGGTGTAGTGGAGTAAGCAAAACCTATGCAGTTCAGCCTCCAGGACTGGAGCATAACAGGCAAGGATCTCAGGCAAGGTTGGTGCTTCTTGTACTAGAGGTTCATTCTTTGATTAACTTTGATTATTGCTATAGATGGCATTTTGCTAACTTAGTGCTTGTCATTTGCTGTTAGTGAAGTAAGTATCCTACCAGATCATTCCTCAGTATGAGTGCAACCTGTCTGGGTTTGAGGGAGTAATGGGAAACTCACACTTGTCCTGTTTTGTGTTAGCCACAGCCTTATGCTAATGTACAAGTCAGTAATGCTAGCCATCTAGCCATGGCATTTCGCACAACTCCCAACCACCTGGAGATTTTCAGTTCAGTTTTAAACTACAGAGATTATACCCAAGGCTTTAGCCAATGTTGGTCAGACACTCACAATGCTCACAATCCTAATGTAACCTACTAGCAATTTGCTAAGCCTTTAAGAGTTAAATCAGTGGTGCACTGGGTTGCTTGTTGAGTTTGAAACAGACTTCAGTAATGCTTGTCATGACCTAAAGTTAGCATAATGTTGTGCGGCCTAATGTTTGGCAAAGTACTTGCACTGGCATTAATATGGTTTTTAACACCAACACAGACAGCCTTAAGATGTTACGTGCAGCTAAAAACCCTGTGAAAGGAAAATTATTAATAGAGAGGAAGTAGTTGAGGTTGCTGAGTAGTGCTGAACTTAAAGTGACCTGAGCTGGAATTGACCAACTAATTTCAGGATTAGTTCAAGATAACCCTAAATTACTAATCTTCTGCCAGTGGATTGCTTTAGGAATAGATCACCATGACAACTTATGCTGGACTTCTCCAGGGCAGTTTAAGCTTGGATCAGCTCGTTGACCAATCATCAGGGATGAGAGAAGGTGGAGGGGTGCTGAGGGTGCAGCAGCACCCCCAGATTTCAGGTAACTGTTAAATACATAAAGATTTGAAACTAATTTGATTGCAGTAAAGACCTATATCTGGTTGTTTTCATATATTTTTAACACCTGTAGTAGCTGCACTGTTTACATTAACAATGTATTTTCATAAAAGTGAGCCAAATTGCTTCCCTCACCCCCTCCTAGCCACTTTAGGGCTACTACAGAATTTGAGGTGCAAAGAGGGAAAATGTGTGCGGAGCTATAGGCGTTCAGAGCCCCAAAGCAGCCTAATATTGTTTAAACTTAATTCCATTTTTTATGCCCTGCACTTTGAATACATCCTTTTTTTTATTATTATTATTAGCCAGTATCACCCACTCGGAGTGTATTTGAGTGTGTGACTGTGGGTTTGAATTGGTTACTGCTGCACACGTCAACAGTCTGATTGGGCGCCAACTCAACTCATTTGCATAAGGTTTGTCCAGAAGTATAAAGAAAGGACAGAGAAATCATGGTGCATCAGCAGTTTGATATGTCAGTTATGTGGGTGTGTTATTGTCTTTCACCACATCATAACAGGCTCTGTTTGATGTATATTATCCAAAAAGAAAACAAATGAAAAAAGACAAACGATTTTGCTTGATGTTACTGTTCACAGAACAAATGTACTGCTTAAAATTTCAGCAGCTCAATTTGAACACCTTCCTGTGTCCCTGCCAATCAGTGCAAACTCAAAGTCTTGTTTTTTAGCAGGGGAAACATAGTCTCCACTGCCACTGTTTATTCTCCTGAGGTTTGTTATGAATTTTTACTTTCTACAAAAAACCTCGTGTTTCACACGATTGGCTGTTTTGTCAAACATCATTTTAATCCTTGCACTTGTGCAAATGAATCATAGCCTGTCTAAAGCTAGCAGTGAAAGGTGTTGACCACTGTTAACCTCAACTGCGATTGATGGGTTTTGAAGTGCTGAAGCTTCATCATGATCCCTGTCTGAGTTGATCAAACTTCTTAAAACAAATTTCTCATTTAGTATCATTTGAGCAGCTTTGCACTGTCATTATGCTCCATTTTTAACTTACATTTGGGTTTTTCAATGATGAATTTTGTTACGAGCAACAATTCTGCCAAACAGCAATCAAACCCATTAGGATTTTACTTCATTTCCGAAGCAAAATTCTGCTCCAGCTACAGATTTTCATCTATAGGATATGCTATTTGCTTTTTTAGAGAGAAACAGGAAATGAATGTCATATGAGGACGAAATTAACTTAATTGAGCCATTACTGGTGCCGGCTAATTTGTCAGTTTAAAGAACGTCTTTAAAATAAACATCTTCATTAATCAGCGCGGGAAGTTTAAGCAAGAGTGAAGAGAAAAGGAAGTTGATTTCACTGAGTCTGATTTCTCCTGGAAAAAAAAGAAAACAATGATTAGCCCTCCTGCTTGGAATACCCGTGACAAACGCAAGGAATATGTAAACATTCACAGAGGAGGCTCTGGGTTATGATTGGGGTATGTCTGTGGTCAGAACTGGTGCCAAGTTAATTCATTTAGGAAAATCTCTCTCCCACTCGCTCATTTACACCAGTGCTTGGGCCCCAAATTTCCCTCTAAAGTTGGAGTTACCCCTCCCCAGCCCCCCTGTCATGTTTGCAAGGTCTAGCAGTGTTTTCTAGGGGTCAAACCGACCCTCTGAGCTGTTCCACGAGTTTCATATTGTTTCCTGAGAGGACAGGAAGACACAGATTAAGCTTAATTTGTCACTTTGTCCATGGGCAAGAGGACCAAAGAGATGGCGGCTAAGGATGATTACCGCTCAGTCACGAGAGAAAGCTATCTGTCAATCACGCGGACATCTTTGCAGCAGATGTGGCAGCTCCGTATTAAACGACGGGTGACTCAGTCCCCGAAAAAAGAAATGTTTATAAAATATGCTTCGTTTCATGAGAGAATTAAAGGATCATCTCCCTCGCTTTCAAGTGGAGTAAATTCTGCCCATCGCTGAGCACTGGCTACATTGGTTTCTCTGCAACTCCATGTTCAGTACTCAGATCTTTGAACCCTCCTGCTTCACAATTGATTTGTTGGCAGAAAAATACGCTCTGCTGTTGTCGGCTGGCGTCACTCTAGCATGACTGTGTTTTTCCTCGTTCGTTCTAAAGGCTGACTTTCCGGTTAACCCCACATAACTGCAGTTCTTCTTCAGACGAGCGGTTCAGAGGAGCTCTTAACTGTTGTCAAAATAAGTAGCTGGTTTCGAGTCTGCGGTCTGGCAGGCCGTGGATGTTTGCACAAAAGATGATAAATGTCTCGGCCTCTAGCCGTTTAGCTTTGACACCAGGGCCTCGGCGGAGGCTCCTCGTATATCTCACTCTGCAGCCACGGCTGATTCTGGAGAAGGAAGGTGCTCGGAGAGCTCGTCTGACCGAAAGAGGACAAGCCCCCAATCCGTCTTCCTCTTTTTCCACTCCTCCTCCAGTCCCCCTCTCATCACCATGGTTTGGGTATCCAAATTAGGTGTAGTGGACATGCTTTGGAAAAGCAGGACTTGTCTGCAATATGCTCCATATTTTACATTTTGTGTGTGTGTGTGTGTGTGTGTGTGTGTGTGTGTG